GACTACGTGGGAGTCCAGCGACTTAGCCATTACGCTAACTGCTGGTTCCCCGGCATGAGTTTTAAGCCACTGGGTCCGAGACGCGAACCGCAGTCGACTATGTGGGAGTCCAGCGACATAGCCATTACGCCAACTGCTGGTTCCCTATTTTACCTTTTTTGAAGTTGACCAGAGAGAGAAGGAAAGTAAGAAAACAAGCTGCCAGATCTGGGACTTAAATGCAATCAGCCATGTGGGAGTCCAGCTATCTTAACCACTACGCCCCCTGCTGGCTCCTGAGTGTGATTTTTTTTTTTAAGACTGGGTCTAGGACTTCAACTGGGGAGTCAGCCATGTGGGTCTAGTGCCTTAACCTACATGCCACCTGCAGGCCTGAGAAGTGGGGCCTTTCAGAGATGATTAGATCGTGAGGACTCTGCCCTCAGGAATAGATTGCTGTGGTTATCATGGGAGTGGGTTCTTTATAAAAGGATGAGTTGGGGGACCAGCAGATGGCATAATGATTACATTATTGGACTCCCATGTATTCAAGCATACTTCAAGTCCCAGGCTTGATGGCTTAAAACTCATGCTGAGTGTTGGGTGCATGTGCGTGTGTGCCCAAGATCCTGAGAAGAGAATGGAGGAGGAGAGATTGTGGCGTGACCATTCTCCCTGTGGGGTGATTTCTCGCTTTCTGTCTCTCTGTCTCTGGCTCTGGCTAGCTGCACATGCGCTATAGCAAAAGTCTCTCTCAAAAAAATTAAAAGGATGAGTTCAGATCCCTGGCCTCTCCCTCCCATGTTATGATGCAGCAAGAAAGTTCCCACCCATATGTGACCTCTTGATCTTGGACTTCTCAGCCACCAGAATCATAAGCCAAATAAAAGTCTATTATTTATAAGTTTGTGTTGTTCTGGGGGGCCAGCGGGTCGTGTGATGGTTAAGGTGCAGGACTCCCACATGGCTGACCATGGTTTAAGTCCTGGACCTGATTGCTTGCTTTCTCATTTTCTTTCTTTTTTTCCCTCTGGTCAAATGGAATAATAATAATTAATTAAATAAATAAATAATGAAAAACGAAACTAGTTTGTGGTATTCTGTAACAGCAGCACAAAATGGACTAAAGCACATACAGTAAAGAACACAATTTTTTTTCTTTTTTCTTTATTCATGATAGCGTACATGCATATGCAAATAAGAGTGAGAAAGAGAGAGAGGAGCAGCCTCCAGAGCCTGGTCACATTTCAATCCCCTTTTTCCAGTCCTCCAGCCCATCGGATCCTGGGCACTCACATGTGTGCTGGGTATGTTTCGTGCTGACTGGGCAGAGGATTTGAACTGGGCAGACTGGAGTGGGGTGTTCGCCTTTGAATGTTTGCAAAAGCCACATATTGCTCCTATGGCTGCCACGACTGCTACAAGTAATCATCAAATGCTTCAACACCCAGCGCAGACTAGTTCTTCAAAACTATCGTCTCTAAATCTTCCTGCAATCCTGTTTGGTAGGTAGGATGACTCCAACTTTATTATGTGCAAATAAGCTTCAGGAAGGATCTATAATTTGCTCTAGGACACATGCTCAGGAGAGTCAGGATTCACACCTGGTTCTGTCCGGCTCTGATGCTTACTCTGACTCTGGTTAGGAGTAAAGGAACACCAGGGTCCTTGTGGGAGAAGGTAGAGTAAAGCCTCCAGCAGAGATGGGCAGGTCTCACAATGTGAGTGGGTCTGCAGTAGGGTGGGCAGGGGCTCCCATGCAGTTTGTCTGGGACTGAGATAAAGAGAAAGGGTTGGCGATGGTCAGGGCTGTAGGCCATGTGGGAGGGGCTGTCAGGACTCAGCCAATGTAAGGCCATCGCTTCTCCAGCTCCACTCATAGAGCAGAAGTGGTATCTGCAGCCTAGGGGCCAAGGAGATGGCATTTCCACACCAACCCCTTGGGCCTGGGCTGACTGCCAGCATGGAGAGCCAGGGAAGCAGTGAGGCTAAGGAGATCATTATCAGGAGGAAGGAAGCTCTGGCAGCTCTCACCAGCCCCGTTTGTGACAAGTGGGCTCTGGGCCACGGAAGTCCCATAAGGTCAAGGGAAATGTGATCCTGGAACAGGGGATAAGGCTGTGACACTCCCCTTACCCTCCTAAGGAGTTAGGCCAAGGGGATCTAGACAGAGCCAGGCCCAGGGTCAGGTCGGAAGGGCAGCGAGCTACAGAATGGGGAGAGGCAGTTAGAGAAGGG